CATAGCCTAGCATAACACACATTTCACTCCTACAAATTCAACTTTGTCATTGTCATTGTTTTTTAGCGTTCCTCATTTTGGCCCTCTGTAATGCCCTTCCCTACCCACTCCTTGTACTCACTCTGTCCTTCCACCCAAAATGCTTCTTCCTTTTTTCCTTTTTAGATTCCAATTTCGGTCTCCTCTGTGATGCTTTCATAGAGGTTCCCTAAGTATCATGCCAACCAGAGCCAGCCAAGCCCCAAAATCATATCAGCAATTTTAATGCATACTGTGCCATAATCAGCATATGTCATCTAACTATCTGTCATCCTTTCCACTTCCACACCACTGTAGTCAACATGGATGCAGAATTCCTCAGATGGATTTGCCTCCTCATAATCTTCATTCATTTGCCATCTCATAACAATAATCTATTCTCAGGACAAGCTACCTGCCCACACCCTCCACTAAGCAACCCTGTTATCTCTGTCATCAGTCATTTCTATCAGCACTCTGGCATCTTAATCCTGACAGACTTTCCCTTCCTTTACAACCAAATCCTCCAGTTTCCTTCCAACCCTTCCTGTTCAGGCCCTTCTTCGTCACTATGGTCTCTATGCCCAGATGTGACCAGTTAGGTTTACATTGAGCTCTGACAGCACTTTCCATTGAGACCTTTATTCTACACTTTTGCTACTAGTTGGCCCTCTGACATGTTTTCCTTCCCTTTGCTTCCAATCTACCTTTTCATTTTCATTCCTTCCTGATTTGGGGCCCAAGGATATAGTCTTAGCTTTCCTTTTCTGTCTGTCATTCCGTAGTGCTGGCTCTTACATTTGAGGTTAACTTTAATGTTGATATTCTATACTGTTGTTCCTCCTTTGACCTAGAAAAAGCCTTAATTTTCAGCATCCTTCCTGTTCTGTGTGTAGCATTCCTATGGATTCAGCACCATCTGCTAGGTAAACATCCATCCCTACCACTCACTTTTTCTTTTTTACACATTCACTGTGTAACCCTTTCACCGCCTCAGTTTTCTGTGTACTATATTGCATCTGTTCTCAGCTCAGTCTAACCCTAAGTGAGTCATTATAGGTGGCCTATCCCAGATCCATTCCTTTAACCCTCTTTTTTTGCTCTCTGGGCACATCCTTTGCTTCAACTATTTAAGAATCTCTTCAGATCTATATCTGGTCTTTATTTTGCCACAGTCTTCCCCCCCAGTGATTAACATCTCCAACTTTCCACCCTGACATGTGCTTACTACTCTGCTCAGCCCAGCCGCACATCCCTCTCCCTATTTAGCTTTCAGCATTGATCTTTCTCCCCCCCCCCCCAATTCTTATTGCCTTGCCATTTCACTCTCATTTTTAGCAAATCCTTACAAAATATGCTCCATTTTTTAAACCTCTTTAACAGAGGTCTTCGGGTTTTCTTTTCTTTGTTTCTTTTGCTTTTTGCTTTTCCTATTTGATGAAGCTTGCTCTTGTCCTGGAAGGGCCCCTCTGACCTCCTGTCTTGTCTCCCAATGTCTGTCTCTTCTCTGACTTCACTGATGGATTCCTACCATTGGCTATTAATGCAACTCTTGGCTGGTTCCCTGCAAGTCCTCATTGTATCAACCACAAAAATGTAATCCATGCATTCTTCCTCAACCCATTCCTACATGTTGCATCCTCAGAACTTTTAAATGCCTTTTGTCTTGTCTTCTACATAAAAAACAAACCAATCTGCTCCAGTCTGTGTCTACTCTACCGTTCATTTGTTCTCTAATTTATCCCCAGGCTCTTAACCCTGCAACTGCATATAGCACTCTATTAAAATTTATACTAAAGGATCTATGGCATTGAATTATAATATCATCGATAGATTAATCATATATATATAGTCACATTAATTTAACTTGTAGATAGCTTTGGGGACAAAGGTCATGTCTAACCACATTGCCTTATTCCTTTACTTAAATGTCAGTGGGCTGGAAAGATGGATGGATGGATGAATGGATGGATGGATGGATGGATGGATGGATGGATGGATGGATACTGACCAAGTACCTCTTAATGCCCATACTATCATACATTTGAGTCTTTCTTCTCTTGCTCATACGCCCAAATAGCTTTCTAGTGCTCCAATTTCTAGTTATTCTGTACACATATAACAGCCTTTTCCAGATCCCTGATTAGACCATAGGCTCCTTTCCTTCATCCATGATGGCAAAATTCTCTCTTTCAAACTGGAAAACCCTGTCTTCATCAAAACTTCACTTTCCAAAATTCTGTCAGTTTTTTTACTATTCATTTCTTATGTTATTCTTAGTCATCTGAAACATACAGTGCTTATTGCTTTCCCATTTTGAAATAGACTTTACCAATAGTAAAGCCTCGCTTTCATGTACTCACTGATGGTTGAAAGTTGATTTAAGAGTAGTTTATTGTGGTGTTCTGTAGATCAAGTAAGTCCACTATCTAAAGACAACATTGAGACCCTGTTCTTGGTTGGTTTTAATCTGATGATCTGTGTGTTTTGCTGTGTTTTTGCTTTGAGTCCTAGAGCATCAAGTGGTTCTGTTACTTTTCAAAATATTGACCCTTTTGACCAGCATGACAGAAAGTCCCCTCAAAATAATCTCCCCCCTGTTTTCACATCAACACAGAAACAGTGTGCTCAGGTCATCTCTTCTGTGCATTCTTCTAGTCTACAGCACAGAAATGTTTCCAAAGCAATACTTTGTGAACTGACAAACTGGCTGCCTTGCAAGCTGCTACCTTAGAACAGGGTATGCATCTGTTAACACTTGGAATGTGGAGCACAATGCTAAGCACAGGTGGTACTTGCTCAGTGATGATGGGAATGTGCTTTTCCTACCCACTCATGTGGATTTGTCTGCTCTTCCCTCCAGTTGCTGGCACCTTTAGCTGCACCTTGAAGTTTACAGTCCGGGATTGTGACCCTAACACTGGGGTCCCAGATGAAGATGGATATGATGATGAATATGTGGTGAGTCTTCCCTGCAGACTCTGCACCTTTTCAATGCTCACAAGAGCATTTTCTAGAAACAGCTCACGAAGCTCGTGGGACCTAGACTAAACTCTGGCGTGGAGTTGTATCATGCCAGAGAGAATTTAAAGGGGGTGCTTTATAACTAGAGCAAGGGAATTTACCTTTATTCTCTTTTAATGGGAATGACTAAGCTAATTGCATCATTTTTAATGTAATTGAATTTATTTATAAAGTAGGTTTTGGTTTTATGTCCAAAACTTTATCTTTGGTTGGTTGTAATATCAGCAAGTCATAGACTGAAAACCTTTGATAAAAAAAAAAAAGACAGAAAGTGGCCTCAACTAGGGGACTAAATGTGACAGTATGACTGCTATGCACCAAAGGGCCACTTGGCTCTTGCCAGATTTTTCTTGCCCCTCTGTACTAGACCCTGTATAACATCAGGCTTATCCAGACCACATTAGTGAGGAAGGTCTTCCTTCAGGCCCTTTGCACGGTGAGTGGTTGTTGTAGATTCAAAGGTTTTTTTATTTACTGACCCCTGCTTATTGCCCACTAGCTGGAAGATCTTGAAGTGACTGTGTCTGACCACATTCAGAAAGTACTAAAGCCTAGCTTTGCTGCCGCCTGGGAAGAGGTGGGAGATGCCTTTGAGAAAGAAGAAACCTTTGCTCTTAGCTCTACAAAAACCCTTGAAGGTGAGAAGAGCTTTGCTGCCTGGGGCTAGTATAAAACCCAGGAGGCATACGTGCAACTCCAAAGGAATTCCTTTCTGTTGAGTATGTTTTAAGTAATTTACTCAAAACCAGTACCTGTCTTCATTCTCTAACCAAATCAGCCATTTTCTAGACTGGTAGCTTCTCTCCACATTGTCTACAACTCTGTGCACCTGCAACTCCTAGGACATACTAGAGCAGAGGCAGAGTCAGACCCTCATGTTTAACTTTCCTAATACTGTTACATCAACTTTCTCAACAGAGGCTGTCAACAACATCATCACATTTCTGGGCATGCAGCCATGTGAGAGATCAGACAAAGTACCTGAGAATAAGAATTCCCATTCCCTTTATCTGGCAGGTAAGAGATCCCCACCAAACATACAGAATTTAAAGGGATGTGGACAGGCACTCTCTATTGTCTCCTTATGTAACAATCTGAGACCTAATAAAAATGAATAATTAATTCTTCAGGTTCCCCTTAGGTTTTTCTTTCGGAGGTACGTCTGACCTAAAGTACTTTAGTCTCTAACAAATGCCAGCATCAATCCCTGAGTACACTAAGTCAGTGATACCCAATACCTTCCATGTACCTGGTTTTCATATGAACATTTAAAAATTAGGATTGTATATAGGACTTATTTCCTGTAAATTTCTATAAAGGTAAAACTAAAATAATAGAAAGGAGGTTCAGGCAAAACATGATAAATTCCATTAGTCAGAGCTTATTTGAAGTTCTTAATATTCTTTTCCTAACTTTTTTCTCTCAGGTGTTTACAGAGGTGGCTATGATTTATTGGTGCGATCAAGGCTAGCCTTAGCAGATGGAGTGACCATGCAGGTGACTGTGAGAAGCAAGGAGAGAACGCCTGTGGATGTGGTCTTGGCTTCTGTGGGATAAGGTCTTGCTGGGAAGGTGATGTGGCTATGCTCACCCTATTGGTGATTTTTGGGCTAGTGGCATGGATTTCTCAGAATTACACTTATCCAGTGTTTGGCCCTGAGCCAGCAGATCAAGCAAATGTTTGTCTTTTGTGCATGGATTTTAGTGTGTTTCTTCCCTTCTCATTGTCTTACTTGTTCAGCTTTGGTATGACAATGCAGCTTTGAATGATGTTGAAAACCAGATGCTGTGTATGCTATTCTACAGCTGCTTGGCTTCATTATATGCTTTTATTTCATGTATGAAAACTCTTGGCAATGCTGGAAAATTTTTATCCCAGAAGGGTGGAGGGGGAGGGGAAGCCGGAATCCATTTTTGTCACAGTTTGTTTTTATTAATAGAAAATAAACACTCATTCATTCCAGTTTCAAAGTTGCTATACTTGAAATTCCTAATTTTAAAAAAATGAATTTAAAATAATCAATAATGCTGCTTTAACTAAGACAGTTAAAACTGTGGCTTAAAAAGTATTCAGCACCATTTGCTCTTAGGTCTTTCAACATTTGTTCTTAAGCAATTGTTCTTAAGCATCTAAGCACTTGTTCTTAAGCGTCTGCCTGTCTCTCAGTACAGGAGTTGCTGAGTTACATGAGAGAGCCTTTCCGAACAACCAGTGGGATGGATGCTAACATCCTGAGAGGGTGTCTGGCTGTTACAGTGGCCCCTCCCCCCACTTCAGCTCTGGAGGAACATGTATGTACCTAAGCACTGGTGCGAGGAGGCAGGCTCTTATCTACTGTTCAGCTTGGACTCTCTGGCCAGGAACAGTAAATCTCTGGCACAGATGCAACTGGTTAATACCGTGTGGTTTTAGGGAATTCTGTAAATAATTTGAATCTGTTTATTCACAAATTATATGTGCGACCAGGGTCTCTACTCTAGCAAGTAAGGGCCAACTATTTTAATACCCTTATAAAATACATACACAAGTATGCAAATCAGTTTTAAAAGCTGCATCATTCAGAATGCTGCATCGTTTATGCCAATGATGGCTACCTTGGTTTGATGAGTTTGTGGGTGGGGGGAGCAGTGCTGGAGACTGAACCCAAGGGCATTATTAGTTTGATAGGCAGGTGCTCTACCATGAGCTACATCCCCAGCCCCTAAGCCAATGGTCTGTTTCAACAAAATGTAATTAGAAGCTGCTGATGAAACTAAATGTAAGGTGTGACATGATATTCCTTCTCATAAGCTGTGCTGTACAGAGCTTGGAGGGAAGATGAGCACTTTACTCCCTCACTCTTTACTACAGGGTTCCAATTAGTGTTGGGCCAGAAGTTAGCATTTCTAAATATTTCAGCAAAGTCCACAAAAAAATCGAGGGTGGGTTTGTTTGCTTTGTTTTGTTTTGTTTTTGTTTAGTGTTTAAGAATGTCCAATGCTGTCTTTCTGCATCATTGAGAAGTGTTATTCATTAGGGTGTTCTAATAACATAAAACAGTAACAGATCTGTGCACTTGGTCAGATGTCACAGAAATGAGGGGAGGATTATCATGTCACCCTTAGAGAATGAGAGATGGATCATCATGTCATCCTTAGCGTTTCTGCTGCCTATTCTCTATAGTTTGTTCACCAATGTGAATAAGATGGACTTTTATGAAAGGGTAGTACTTGGTTGCCAGGACCTCGTTTGGGCATTTCTAAGTGGAATACACATAGATACGAGAATAGGGGAGGTAATTAATACAGGGAAGCTACTCTTTCCAGCTCAGAAGGAGTTGATGAAGCCCATATATGCATTCAAGAAGCCCATGGGATCCTCTAGCTGTGGGTAGTGGCTAATGTGGTCATCCAGAATCGACACTGTGGACCGCGGCAGCGTTTTCCTAGTGGAAGAGAACAGCATGGAGGTGAACTTAAGGCTGGAAGGATGAGAGGATGTAAGCCATGGGAAGCCCCGTAAATGCCCCTGTAGACACACCACACTGCAAGAAGCCAGCGAAGAGCTTATTCATCTCCTACTTGGGAACTATACCTTAGCCAGATAAACTTGCCAATTGTTCAGAACACAACAGACAACATCTTGCAAATACAACACTTCTGTAACAGTCCTCAAAACATGACTTTCAGCTCCTTAGAGAAGCATCAACAGGTGGCTCACTCAGCAACTCACTGCCCAAGCAAAGATAAACAAAGAACCTTCCTTAATCTCGTGAGGAGATTGTTTAAAATTATAAGCTAGCTGTTGATTGCCAGATTGTATCTACTGGGGCACATGAAGGTATGGAACATTCTTACATGATAGTCAAGATTTCATATTCCAGCACCTTCTGAATAAGTACCCTGAGGGAGCAACAACCAATGAAAACCTTTTTCATGGTTAGCTGTTCATAACTGCTCAATGAAGTGTGCTCAGTTGAGGTCAGTGAATTGGCTTTACAGTCAGACTAACACATTTCTTAAGATGTTTGGTTCACATGACGCCCCCCCACTCCCCACTGAGGAACATGATAACAGCCACAGAGAATATCGAGAACAGGATGTATGAATTCAGAGAATCTTTCCACTTTGGTGAGAATAAGATTTCCTGTCCCTAACTGGTCTAGATGTGTATGTTTCCAATGAGGTCGGAGGTGGTAGTAAATAGTGCCAACAAGCCTGTCAGGATGAAACAGCTAAGAGAACCAAGACCTCTGAGGAGGACTCACCTGTACAGCTCCAGAAACTCTGGGTAGGGGTTTATAGGATCCAATGGCCCATAGATAAAATGAACTAGGAAAGAGAAGAGGAAGGGATTTCTAACAGCTCACAGGTGTGCTTCCTACCCTAAAATCAACCCCCTCCCTTCATTTAAAGAAGACATTCTGTGAATAAAAATTCCTGTTATAGAAATCGTTCTTATTAGGTCAGCTATAAAGAACTTCTAGAACAAGCCAGTCTGTCTTCTACACAGAACTGGGTGGTCCCTCCTTGCTCTTCTGTACCCTGAATCCAAAGGAACAAGCTCGCTTTGAAGACCTGCTTTCCAGAAATGTAGGTAGAATGATCATTCTTTGAAGTTCCCTCAGCTGGGGCTGACCTCTGACATCTTGATCACTAGTATTGTGAGGCATGAGGACAGAGCACTGACCTGTGACCTTCATTAACGACCTCACTAGCTTCCTGTCCCAAGAGTTACATATTACCATGTAACTCTTACATATTACATATTACCATGGCAGGCAAGCCATACTAGCCCCATCTGTAGAGGGTGGTGCCTCAGTGTCTTACACCCCTTACTGGGGCATTCTAGGGGTTTGGAATAGGATTGCCAGTGAATACAGAATGGGCAGTTAGCCGGGCGGTGGTGGCACACGCCTTTAATCCTGGCACTCAGGTGGCAGAGGCAGGCAGATCTCTGTGAGTTTAAGGACAGCCTGGTCTACAGAGAGTTCCAGGACAGCCAGAGCTACACAGAGAAATCCTGTAAGGATTTTAAAAAGTGTGTCCTAAGCATGATATAACACACACTTTTTTATACTAAAAGTTGCTGTTTTTCTGTAAGATTCAGATTGACTTGGGTGCATGTTTTTAGTTGCTAGCCCTGGCGACCCTGCATGGGGACTTTATGCGTGGCAGTTATGTTAAGTCACTGTTCCCAAGGCTCCTTGTCAGAAAGTGACAGAAAACTATACAGATACTCACTGGGGATGCTCACAGAGGCAAGTGTTCCCACCCAGCGCCTTCTGAATTTCTTCCTTTGATTGATGTACTGTAAAAGACTACAGTGCAGGTGAGTCAGCAGGAGCAGGGCAAGAACTATTTCTATCAGTGCAATCTCCCAGTCCACAGAGCCACAGAAAAGTGTCTTCATATAGAAGCAGCCTCAGGTCCCAGGAACAGCCTACTTCATCCCTTTGTGTTAACTACTCATTAACTACTCACAATAGTGACTGCTTAAGCAGGGAATGAGATCTCCAGAAGAATTGCAGTTAGCTTGGAGTGTACATGATTTAAAACCTGGTTCTAAAAATCCAGTTTTGACCCCCCCACTACTGACCAGGTCTGTGACTGCAAAAACACATTTTTATTTTATTTTATTTTATTTTTAAACTAAGACCAAACTACATGATCTTAAGTTGATAGCCACTTCTAAGAATGCAATGTAGAAGTTTCTGGGATCAGGGCTTCATCACTCTATTTCATCTCATGGAGTGGAGAACTAAGTCTTCCTGCAATGGAAGATGCCAACAGCCATGCTGCAGCGCATGTGGCAGGTTCCCTAACTCTGGGGCAGGGAAGAAGGCAGGCTATGAGAATACTTTTTTTAAAAAGAGGCATGTTTGTTATTCAGTTTTTTATTTAAGGACTCATATAGAGTTCACAGCAACACCAGCAGTTAGGGCACTGCTAGAGTCACAGGCCCAGCTGGCGAAAGGCAAGGCAAGGCAAGGCCTTATCTCAAGGAAAGATGCATATATTCACTCTCCCATCTCTCCAAGGAAACAGCTACAGTCTCACCTAAGCCATAGCCCTGCTCCTCAAACTCTGTTGCTGCTGGAGAAAGAGACAAAGGAAGAGCTTTGTACTTAGGAGAGACATTGGGCTCCTTTCAAAACTAGGACTGCAGCGTTCTGAAACATTTCATAGTAACCAAAAGTCTAAAGAAGGGTATTATGTCAAAGTCATTTCCATGCAAATAAGCACTACGATTTGCAACTATTTATCTACATTTTCTGTGACAAATGCTTTTGGAGTAAGGGCTCACCCTATGCTAGATTTCTTTGTTGGAAAACACAGACCAGGACTGTTTTAGTTTTGCCTCATCGTCCCTAGCCAGCCTTCTTGTGACAGGGAGTAAGCAAACAAGGAGCAGGACATGCTGTGCCTGCCCTTCGCTCCAGGAGTGTCACTAGGGCCCACCCAGAGCAAGGTTCCCCTGTTACCTGTCAATGACCAAGTTCCCGTCATTGTTGCGGATCCCAGCCCACATGTCCCACAGTTCACTCTCGGAGGGGCGGGTATACGGTCCGAAGACTGGGGTAAGACTGAGAGAGGACAAATGCGGGAAGGTAAGACAGAGTGGAAGGAGTCAGAGCACTTCTGCAGATTCAGAAATTCCTTCTAGAAAATGTCCAAGCTCAGGCTTGCCTTGGTCCATGACTATAATAGCAGCAAGCTCCACTACCCTGTCCAGCTCCTAGTCTTTGGTGATGACTTACCCTCGAGAGAACACAAAGAAGTTCATAAGCCTTGTGAGGATGGGTGAAAGCACACCTCCATCTTTGAGGAGCTGCGGATAAGAAGTGAAAGTAAAAATCAAGGACCCAGAAAAAGCTGACAGCACATAAAAATGCAACTTAGCCATAGCTGCTTCTAGGGGGGAAAAAAAAGTATAATCCCTAAATGTAACTGGAATCAAGTTTAGCCTGGGATCTCAACTTATTCAAACATCATACTTGTGGCACAGATCTTCATATAGTTATAGTTCTCTAAAAAATTTGTCTCTTATTTCTCAGAAATATTTGGTTTTTATGTAGGGGAGCCTGCTTTATTTGACTAAGGAGGGAAAAATTAACTTGATTAATGTGAATTCATAATAAAGAAGATTATTATTATCACAGGTATGGCCCTCAGAAGGTCCCAGATTTGTTTGATATTAATGTCACAGATATCTGAACTGAGAAGCTATGCAGTAAAACTGCCAACCTTTTGGAGAAGGAGAGGACGGTGGGTTTCAGGAAAGATACCTGTGAAAAGAGAGACTTCTTAGTCATTTACCAACAACTCTTAAGTTAACAGCACAACCATTACCAGAAACTAATTCCACTGTTCGTTATTCCATTTGGGGCTTTCACTGACAGAACAGAATTATGAATAAAGACAGCCATGTACTGCATAACAACTGATGCTCAACATGGAACTGCATACATGTGTACCAATCTGAGGCATGACTCTACTGCTAATTCCTAAAGATTCTGTTTGACAAATTATAACACACTGGGACTATCTTCCTCCTTTCAAAGGTACAAAATGGATAAAGTAATTCATGTGCTCTTCCATAATGCGTTGATGCCTGGGCCTTAACTCCCTTCAGCATCTCCAATGCTCAGACATCACAGTGTTGTTGATGAACTAGACTGCATGCGTGCACACGTGCGTGCATGCACGCACACACACACACACACACAACACACACGTGTGATTTTCAGTCAGTAGGTTCTAGTAAAAGAGAATGACTTCTTTTCTTTTGCAGAGATAAAGAGACAGACTCACTATTCTCCCAGGCCACCCTTAAGGCATTCAGGTAGGGGCATTTGGGCACTTCAGGGTTAATGAGCACCTCAATGACAGTCAGAAAAATAAACTGCAATTAACACTCATTGGTTTAGGCACTGCCACGGATGAGGAGGCGCTTACTGATGCAGCTCACCAGCCACATAAGCAGAGTCACATTGGTGGTAGACCTTTTTTGTTTGCTTTGTCTTTGTTTTGGGGACAAGGTTTCTCTATATAGCCCTAGCTATTTTGTACATAGGCCAGGCTGGCCTCGAAGTCACAGAGATACACCTGCCTCTGCCTCCCAAGTGCTGGGATTAAAGGTGTTGCGACACCCCCATCCGGCTTCCTTTTATTTTCTGTATGTTTGGAAACCTATTCCATAAATGCCATCAGTTATCAAAACTATTCATGGCACAACAACGGTAAAAAAATGCCCCATGTCTAGTGTCTGTTTATGTCAGATTACCATTTAGATGTCTTTATGACTTAAAAAGGTGACTTTTCTAGGCTACACTCCACGTTCCACCTGACCCCAAGGCAATTACCTCCATTTGACAGACAGAGACTCTTTATGGTAAGCCGTCCAGATCGATTCTGCTTGTACCTGTAACAGGGAAAGAAGAAACACACATGTACCTGAACAGCTGGCACCCATGCAGGGGGCTGTGGACAACCCCCAAAGGTTTGAAGATCCCAGAACGATTCAGTGACCTGTCATCTTAAGCTCCTGACACCTGTGCTGAGGGCAAAAGTCTGGTCTCACTGACCTGTACAACAGCTCCTGGGCAACAATGTCCCCATAGTCATGAGACAACAGGTTGATTCTGCGGTTCTGAAGCCCCAGGTGCCGGAGAAGAGACTCCACGATGCTGGCCTGCTCAAATATGGAATACTGATGCGGTCGCTAAGGAAAAGAAAGCCAGAGGCACAGCATGAGGTCACCAGAGCTTGACCTGCATTCATACCCGTCCCACCAAGCTACTGCTTACCGGTTTGTCACTGAAGCCAAAGCCTAAGAAATCAAGGGCAATCACTCGATGAAACCTCAGGGTCAGTCCTTCCCAGATCTGAAAGAAAGCAAGCATGATGTGCACTCTGCTTCCACATGCTACTGCCCTGCCCACAGCAGCACACACACGAGACTCATGCCCGTATGTCAGCTTGGATAAAGTGAAAAATCTCATAAAACCACCACAGGCCTGGGTGGCCCCCCTGGAAAAGGGTGTGAGGCCTAGCTTTCAATATATGGAGAGCATAACTCCAGCCTTTAACTTAGCAATGATCCTTTCTGAACAGCCAGTTTTTTAGTCCCTTACATGCCATGAAAAGCAATTCTACACTTAATGAGATTTTTATCAAGCAGTTCAAATCTGCTAGAGCCTTCTAGGGCTGACCAAAAAAAGGGGGGGGGGGGGGAGGATCTAGAGTTTGAATGTTTTGTAGGACATAGCAGGACCTAGAAACCAAACTTCATTACCTTGTACCAATCGTAGCTGGATGTTGGAAAGCCATGTAGAAGCACAACTATCTCAGGGCTTCCAACCACACCAACAGAGTCTAGGAGGAGGAGGAGAGAGATTAGGCAAATCCCTGCAATACAGCACTGGAGACACCAAAATCTAACACAGTAAGAAGGATCAGACCAAATTAGTGACATTAAAATGCAAGTATACAATACTCTAGATGAGGAGCTTCCTCATAACCTGTATTTTCAATTGAAACAGTTTGCTCATTGTTGCTTGGATTTTTTAGAGACAGTCCCATATTTTAGGTACTAATAATATTAAAATGCAAATAATTTTTCATTTAGTAAAAAGTAAACCAGTTAAATAAAAATTAAAACCAATTACAATGTTATAATCACAACAAACTAAAGATTCTTTATATCTTATCACTAATTTATCACATTTCTCTATGACCTGACAGTTATTACCATAGGAGCACCTGAGTTTGTACTGCTTTTCCAGCATTAGCAGATGACAACCAACTCAAAAACAAACTTACAAAATTCTGTCAGTTACAAAAACAGGCTATTAGTGCCAAGAACTTTTTCTATGTGTGACATCGAATTATTCAACAGTAGAATACCTTGCCACAGTACTAGATTTAAATCAATGCTGCCAGTGGCATAAAATTTTGGTATTAAGTTTTCAAAAATTGTTTAATTAGAAGCAGTTAAAAACAATGTACTAAAAATCTACACAAATAATGCACACCACTAAATATTAATTCTGGGAAAGAGCCAACAAGTTAACATAAAGAAAATTTCATACTTACTTGACTGTATATAACAAATGAGAGGAGGTCAGGAGCAATAATGAAAAACGGTTTACGAAAAACAAACATTTTTCGTTATTGCTCTTGACCCCCGCCCAAAAGAAATCTTTTCCAATCTGTTTCTCAGTGTCTTCACCTATAAAATGAGATTAATGGCACCTATCTCCAAGTGCTGTTGTAAAGATTTAAGTGAAAAATTAAAATAATGAAGGTTAAAAATAGAACAATGCCTTGAATGTAATTAACAATCATATTAATTCCCAGTAAATCTTATCAGGTTTAGATACATATAACAAATCATGGAAAATAATAAAATGACATACGGGGATGGGTGGGGTTGGGGGGGAAGAACGGTATGTATAGGTCTCTAAATAGCATACATGTTACCTAACACTAGGGGCGCTCAAGAGAAAACGAATGTCAAATACAAATGGAGCTGCAAGAAACTTCTATACCAGGTACAATTCCACCCCACCCCGCCCCTCCCTCTATTCCTGAGTTCCCTGCTCTGTCTTATGAAGACTGAAGGGAATTGGTCCAGTATTTCAGGTACACCTTACACAAATGGGGTTACTCCTCTCCCCTCTGTCACTATAGAGCAACAGAGACCAAAGAACAGGAAATAAGTAACCTCAGCGGGTACCTAAACGATCCTAGGATTCTCCAACAGTCCAGTTCTCACCTTGGTAGAAGATGCGCAGTCCCTTGTAGGTGAAGAACTTGCCAGAAGTCTTCCATGAGTGCAGAGCAGGGGAGAGCTGCGGGGGTGGGATATGCAGGTACGCAGCCAGCAAGGGCACGGCCAGTAGCCCCACTTGGACCCACCACTCCCTCATCCTGTGGGAAAAGCAGCCAAGGAAACATTGTACACTTCCAAAGATCAAAACGGACCATGGGGTGGGAAACTTTGGCACTATGGGGTAAATTGATTGATTTCCACCCGATGTGGCCACGGCTGAAAAGTTTACCAAGAAAATATGACGTCTCTACCCTTTGGCAATCACCGTATTTGATCTCCACCATTGTTTCCATGTACGACCTTCGCACATACGTATAATGTATTACACGTCCTTAAGCAGAGAGCTGCTCATCACTGTTTAAATACATACCCTCTGGCCAAATGAAGCTCTATTTGGCACTACTGTCTGGATTGGGGCCAAGAAACTGATTCGAGAGACTGAAAGCAAGACAGCACTTCCTATCCCAGTAAGCAGCTTTGCCCTCACCCTGAATATCTAATCTTAGAAGTCTAGGCAGCAGATTATATTTTTGCTTTCTTAGCAGACTCTTGAGGCGGTTCCCCTTTTAAATATTAAGACCCGCCCACATACCTAGCATTTAGGACTTGGTTTTGTCTGTAAAAAGAACAAATTTGTGCCCCAGCTTGCCATTCCCAGATTTATACGGTCCAGGTCAATTTATCTACACTGGAGGCAAGAATTAAAGCAGCATTAGAAACCATTTCTTCTGTCCATTTGTGACTTGTCACAGTCACCAAGGAAAGGGTTCTCTAAACAAAAAACTGGATAATGCCTCCTAAACTAAAACTAGCTACAAGTTAAACAAATTAATTGCTAGAGTCCTGGCAGATGTGGGCTTGTTGGCTCACTTTGTACATAAGAACGCCCTATGACAAGTTACCTGCAATCTCAAGAAACTGGCTTGGGGGGGAGGGAGGTGGTTAACTCTAACAATAAACCTGACAAGGCGGGTAAAAAAAAAAAAGACCCCTCTCGGGAAACCTCAACTCCGTGCCTGAACTTTAGGCTGCGCTTGGACTTTTTTTTTTTTTTTTTTTTTTCACCTGTCCAATAAACAGTCACAATGGCTTGGTTCTGCCTTTAACGGCAATACTAGAAATGACTGGAAAGGCGCCAGGGCATAATGGTTTAGTCGCAGTCTGTGATCCGCTAACGGGCTTTACCGCCGAACCTCCTTGAACCTCCTTGAAAGGCAAATAACAAAAACGTTAGGTTTAAGATTTATTTATTTTTGTTTGTTTGTTTTGTTATTATTGTTCATTTTTGTTTGGTTGGTTGTTTTCCTCAAAGCCCCTTCGGTCCCGTTACCTGTTCATACATTTCCATGTAGCCTCTGGGCGGTCCACGCAGGTCTCAGACTGAATCTGCAGTGACTCAGCAGAACACTGGGAGGGGCGCCCACAGCAGAGTGAACAGGGGCTTCCCGCTCGCTAGCGAAGGGGGGGGAGGGGGAACAGAGGTGCCACACCCACGCTCTCCACACCGTACGTCGGTGCACCTCCTCCACCCAGGAAAGGGGGGGCAACACCCCCCCAGGAGCCGTTTTCAGTCTTAGTTACCTTAGTAAAAATACCCCCCCCCCAACATTTTATGATTTTTAGTAGTCAAGCAATCTGGCAATCAGGCGAAAGGTTTAAACATATTTTTAAGTCAAATCCCCATTATTTGATGGCGCCATGATTTACATTAAAAATTCAGCACACTCCCGTAACAAACTTTACGTGCCTTGATTTCTCATTTCTGTAAATGATGGAAAAACACATTTATCTAACACCACCAAACCAGCCCACCTAACCACTTCTAAGCGAGAATTACACTGTGAACCCACAAACCGAAGCAAACATTTCTCGTAACATTTTAACCGTCTGGCCGACGTCCCCGAGCTCCCGAGGGTTCGCATTTCTGTCTTGAACAACACTTACGGCCGCGGCCACACAGCGCGGCCAAGGTCCACTCACACCTATGCGGTAACTACGCCACTGCGAGGCCAGATCCTGGAAATCTTAAACCGCGCCGCGGCAATCTCGGCTCCTCGAACCCTAAATCACACACCTGGGTCTAAAAATCCTAAGTCACCGCACAACAATGAGCAGCTCTAAAAACCTTGGAACGCACCGGGGCGTTACCGAGGTTCACGGACCCTAAATTGCGCCACCACCACCTCCAAAATCACACCACAGCCAAGACCCGGACAAAAACCCCTAATTTGCACCAGGAGATCCTAAAATGCCTACATCTCACGCAGCAGACCCCAGGTTTGTTAAAAGTCACCAGCGAAGGCGATCCCGAGTTCGGGCCGAGCAACCGACAGCACGGCCACCTTTTGGTGAGGGTTTTACCATGGGCAGCTCCGGGGAGGCAGTGGCACCCACACCGAGTCGGGCCAGCCACACCCCCCTCGCGGCACGGCCGGCAGCACCCACCTGCGCAAGCGGTCTCGGCGCACCATGGCCGCATTTTCCCATGCCGCGCGCCGCAGGATTGCGGATCACGGGGCGCGCCGAGGCGCCCACAACCGTACAGGATCGGAGGTGGCGTCGGCGCAGCCCACGGTCCGCGCAGGGCGGCCCGCAGCGGCGGCGGCAAAGGCAGCGAGCGGCCTCTCGGGCGAGCCTGCAGCACTACGCCGTTCGGCGAGGCGCGGCTGCCGCAGAGGAAGGCTGCTCAGCCAGCGAAGATGCACCGGGATGTGCTGGTGGCCGCAGCAGAGCGGGGCGAGCGGGCTCCGGCTTTTAGTACCCACTGAGCCCCGCCCCTGGCCCGCCCACCGTGCTGCAGTGTCCCTCCCTCTCGCTCCCGCCGCAGAGCCCCTCCCTACCTCTGCAGAGAAGGGGGGCCTCTGTCGTGGGCGCCTCCCGGGAAATCAACCCCCTCTTTCTTTGCAGATTTCTAATCTTGAACCCCAAATTTGTTTAAAAAAATCCTTTTCCGTGTGATTACCACACGGAAAGCAAAGACGGGAAATGTCTGAGACCCCCGACCCTTCCTTCCCTTGGACCACGCACAGGTCCCAAGCCCCGGAAGGTGGCTGTTAGACATAAATCACCTCAGGGCTAGGGTGCTCATTGTGGCACCCCCTGTTTTTCTACATCCTAAATGGGTGCTGAGTCCTGGGAGAGACTACGTAGCCGAAAATAACGGCTACCAGAAAGCGACAACCCCGAGCCCTTAACCCATGGTAACAATGAAGGAAGGACACACTAAATGGCTAGGGGATGGACACGTTCTGTTGTATCCTCCACTGGGCTAAGTGAATACATTCATGGAAGGGCTGCGACCACATCAAGCGGGCCCAGGATACCACCATCACCACGGTGGCATCAGTATGTTTCCTTTGCAGCAGCACGACGTGGTCGGCATGCCAGAAGCTGCTGCAGCGCCGGGGACCGTTCATCAGGGACACGAGCCTCCTTTTTTTACGCACAACTCAATCGCAATGCAAACACGCTAGAGGTACTGGCAAAACTGGAGATTTTTAAAATCCATAATCCTTTAAAAGGCGTCTCTCGCACCTTTGCAAAGTGCCGAGCATCGTGTTGCCTGTGTGCCATTTGGAGATGTACACTGAAATTCTAACAGCTCGGGAGTGAGCTGGGGACACAGCGCGGGCTGGCCCAGTGGGGGCGCTGCAGGCCTCTCTTCGGCACCTGGTTCACCGCAGCTCCGGCTTTGCTACAAGCACACCGAGTCATGCAGGCGAGTAAGAATCGGCCAGAGGGCCGCAGCGGCTCAGCCGAACCCGTGGGCATCTAACCTGTGGCCACCTAACCTGTGGCCATCTAACCACGCTCCCGGAGTTGGGAGCCACCCTGCAGACACTTTTTAGTGCCAGCACCTGAGAGAGGGTCATCAGAACGCCTAAAGCGGTCCAGGGTATCCTTCTTCGGGAATGGCATGAAATAAATGCTTGTTATCAACCTCGCAGGGCGATACACGGGGTTATGAAATGAGTGAAGGGTGGGACTTTATATTTTTTTATTTCAGAACATTTTCCAACAGGTCGGCCCCCTGTTTCCCAGCCTAAAACCCTCAAAGTCTGAACCCATATCTCATTCACCTTTTGTATCCCAGATCCCGCCATCGGGTGGGCAACAAAGCAGGCCCCTAACAAATACCGCATGAATAAGTTCAAGAATTTGAGGGCGCACAGGGGAGGAAGTAATTAAGGGGAGGGAGGAAGGGGTTGTCTTGAGTGATGAATAGACATTTACCAGAGACAAAGAACATTCCAGCCCGAGGGGACGGCTTTCGCAAAGCACTAGGGGCTCCATACCATGGAACCTTTAGTTTAAAAAAAAAAAAAAAAAAACAGTGTTTCCTTTGGGCGCCAGCGCTGATTGGAGGGCAGGGGGGGAGGGGGAGACAAGAAAGAATAGTTCATCGGAAGGAATGTGGAATTTGTCCTAAATGAGAAGATGTATTTAAAACCCTGTAGAGCTGCAATTAAAGTTTGTACCTTTACAAGTAGAGGACTACCTACATTAACTAACCACCAAACCTTTTAAAGGCCAAGCTACTTAGCACAATCTGAACTAGTGTTCTCTATAGAGTAAAAGCATTCCGATTTTTAACAACCGCCAGTGCGGAAAGCTTCTGCATTGTATACGTTTTTTCGTATTTGCTGTCAATGAAACCTTTTAAGCCTTACAAACAATTACACTTTCTTTCTCACTAGGCCGAAGCACTAGCATCTAAGATGAAGGCAATTTTCTAATTAGTGGACCAAGTGCCCCACAAAGGAACTCATTCTGAAGGCCGGGGAAACAGTACCCACATGGAACTAGAGGGTCGTGGGGGCCGGGCACGTTTCATCCCCCGAGGGGGGAAAGTCAGCGGAAAGCTCTGAACCGCAGAAGTGACTCCAGTCCAGGCCTCGGGAATCCTTCCTGCTCGGGATGACTAGGAATAACTTGGGTGGTAAAGGGCAGGATGCGGTTGAAATGGCGTGGAAGGCAGAACTTGGTTAGACAGAAAACTGGTAGCAGCCCCGACACAAAGGCAAGGAGCTGGAGCCGAGGAACAGGCGCATTGCTGGAGATCGGCAAGGATGGGGAAGGCTTTTTCTAACGTCCAAAGGGTTAGGGAATCTTCCAACCTGGACCGACTTATTTCTGAGCCTCCTCCACAGCGGGGAGAATCTGACCTGCGTTCTAAGAACCCCTGGATAAAACCTGAAAATCCATAAATGAAGAGTCCGCTACCGAGTTTGCTGCCAGCATCCCCCACCCCTTTCCAAACAGGCACTAGCTATCTTATCGGACATGACCCGCAGCAGAGTTCCCTCGGCCAGCGGCTTGGAGGACATTCCCTTCAGATTCCTTTTCTAACACAGGTTCACATCCTAACAGCACCTCAAATCTGTGCAAAACTCAGCGCAGAAAGATCTCCGTGTACCGTCTCAGAACAGCAAACAGTAAGAAACCAGCGCGGCTTCTATCTAGGTTCAAACAACATTATGTTTCTAACCCCATTTTAAACGCTGTAATGATAGGACAAATACAAATATGCTTTCAGACAACAGCACAGAGCCCCCTTCTAAAGCCATAGTTACAAATCTAAATAAAAAAGTGCAGATAGGAAAAATGCAATGGAACAATAACACTTGGTTAAAGAGTGTTGGGGCTTGATTTTTTTTTTTTAAAGGTTTCATTGCGTCTGCGAGAGATGGGTTTGAGGTTTTGGGGGGGGATTAGAAAAGAAAAAGCTACTGTCTGAAGTTATGGAGATATACCCAGAATAACCTGATGATCCAGTGTTATTTTGCTCACCAAACCCCTTTAAGACTATTTTATTCCTTTTTTACAGAGCAGATGTTAAGAGATATTTAATGTGATACATCTCTATGCCCGTGTAACCGGGGTAAAACTAAAATGCTCTGCAAATCGTGTGACTCCAGAGCAACCAGCCTAGCTGAAGTTCCTCCTGTGAGCATATCACGCGCATCCCCCATCTTCACGGGAACTGGCTAGCAGAGAATTTCCATTCATCCCTGAGAAAGATCCTGCAGCTCAAGGGCCTGTGTGCTAACACCGAGGAGCCGGGGGCGCTGAACACAGATGTGTCTGGCTCCCGAGCTGGCGTTCATTCGACTGTCCCACACTGCCTCGCTGTTTGAAATAACTGGGCATGTTTAGTCTAAAGAAAAGGAGCCTTGTGGATTGAGGGGAAGGCGGAAATGTGTCCGCAGTCTTCAAATATTTGTGGAAGCGGCTTTAGACATTTTATCCCATATGGCTCCAATGAGCACAGACGGTACAGAAACAGAAATCCATTCAGCATAAAGAATTTTCCAACAGTCCGGTCCTGCTAGAAGGGCTGAGTGCTTCATGACAAGCTCCCTGTCACTAGGGACTGGGCAAGCCGGCAGCAGGTATGTGAGGTCCTGGTCTTTAGCTCCGTGAATGGCCTTTGAAGGCTTTTACCATTCAGTGGCTTAGAGAGGTGCCGGCTTGGCCAAACAGAACCCTCTGTCCAAGGTACAAACTACCCCTCAGTCTTCCCCGGGCAAGATCCTGAGCCCCAGACTCACTTAGGAATATATTAGACACCGTGGGGCGTGGGGGAGCAGAAGTGCTGTGAATTTATTGATAATTCCTTCCGTCTGCTTAGCCTCCGGCCAGCCCTTCTTTCTCCCCACCGAATGTATCTAATGTATTCTTAAGTGATGTCTTCCTCCCTTTTCAGACTCTTTTTGAGGTTTAAAATAAAAAAGCAGCAAAGAGCTCCAAAAATGAGCGGTAGAGGAGGGAATAATATCAAAGCCGAATAGTGAAATGAGAAGCTAAAGGACGGCCGCTTCTTTACTCGGCAGTATCACAGTACGCCCCTAAACAGTCCACACCCTTTCCTCCACGCTTTCTACCGGGCCAAGCCCGGAACTACCCAGGCCCTCTGCTCCACCGATAGAGGCCATCTTAGCCACTCGAACATCAACAGGCTTGAAGGGTTCTAATTAACTAATAGTATCTTGCATTTTCACAGCTCTTTAGCCTCCTCACACACCCCACAGTGTCTCATTTGCTGCTCAGCACAGGCCCCCTCTAAGGAGCAGCTACGTTCAAGCAGGCAGGCAGGCGTTCTTTTCCCAGCTGCCCGGGAAAGAAGTCTTCCTTCAGGGCCCCTGCTCCTTCTTTTTTGCTGTCTTTCACGGAAGGGTTTTCCTCCAGCTCCGATGAGCAGCCCCTGGGGCAGGTGTTTTGGGGTTGCCTTCTGGCTCTCAATCCTGCCCCTGACCCTGCAGGAGCCCGAGCCACGCACACCAGCACTTCAATCTCGGGGCTCAGCAACCTGCACTCCCTGTCTCCCTGGCTGCCCAGGCCTTGCCTTCCACCCTCCATTCAGCCACTCCTGTGTGTCTTCCCTACCCTGGGCACCCGCTGCCCGGGGAGTCTGGCCTCTGGAGCTTAACAAGAGAGGTTCAGGAGGGAGCCGGCCTCGGCAGGGCAATGAGGGCTGGGCTTTGTGTTTCCTTCAGGAGAGGTGCAGCCACAGGACTGGGGGGGGGGGGGCAGGCCTTGTGGCAGTGCCCATTGTCACCCCCCCCCCAGGGCTGGCGAGATCCACCTTCCCCGAGAGGGACCAGTCTCACCCTTGGGGTGCAAAGGTAAAAGTGGGACCATCTTTCTTCCTACCTGATTCAGATAAGACCTGTCCCACAGGACCCCCATGATGAGGGGAGGGATGGAGGGAAGGAGGGACGGTGCATGTGCACTTCCTGGGAC